AAAAAAAAAAAAAAAAAAAACTTATTTGCATAGTCACTGTCAACGTTTCACGTCATACATGGAATTATAACTATTTACTTTCAAGGCCCATACATGTTACAAAAATCTCACACAGGAAATAAAATACTATCTCAAACTTCAAGAGCAGGAACACAATTATCGCTATTACCCTAAGTATTCCTAAGGTCTAAAACACATTCACTTAAAATATTTTCTTTCAGTATAAAAATAGTTCCTAAAAATGTCATAAAAAATCTACCAAATGACACGATGTCACACTCAAGAAAAAACAGCATTTTTTATAGCCACCACACTGAGAATTTCAAATCCCACACCTTATTCTCTTTATCCTGGCACCCTTTTAATAAGAAAAGGTACTAGTGTGTATGTGTAAGTATAATAGTCAGTTAAAGTTACAAGACACATAAAATAAAAGATAAATAATGGAAAACTAATATTAAATTTCAACTATTTTCAACTATGGGTGCATGCACGATGAGTTTTTTTTCTCTTGCCTGCATTTCAAATACATTCTACATAAATTCACAGTTAATAAATTATGTGAAAAATTGTATATTATTATTATTATTATTATTATTATTATTATTCTGCTACCTTTGTGTACAAGGAACAATTCTGTTAAGGACCATTCCCCTTGCCTATAGGCAGTACTACACATACCCTTGCAGAAATCATAGTATTATAGTTGGTTCTCTCAGCTAAGCTGCAAGAGACAGAGAAATGAAAATAAAAATAGTGATTATTTTGAATTAGAATAGTGTTCATACACGTCACTTGGTATACAGACCATTTTTGCTCTTACATATTAACACTGTAATTTCAAACCATAATATATGTTGGATTTGAAATTCTCAGAGCTGTGACTATGTAGTTTGGAAAATGACCAAGAGTTAAGAGCAACATGTTTCTGCCATCTTCAGGGTTGATTGTGGAAAGCAAGAAACCAGCAAGCAGCAGCTAGTGAGAAAAGCCTGCTCTGTTTCTTACTTGGCTTCCTCTTCAACCTTGAGGATACAGATGATGTTCCTCCAAAACGTTGCACTCTCTTCAATGTGCACGGTGCTACAATCCGGAACATTATACTCTTCATAATCCATGTTTGTCAACAAGACCATTAGTTTATGTTGCAGCATGTCTCACTTGAAGTTCTGATAAATTATTGTTAACTGGTTGCTTATAAATCTCCCTTGTTCAAATATAAAAAAGGTAGATATGATGGAGTTAATACTGACAGCCTGCTTTTATGATCTTCCCCACTCATTGCTTATTAATATGTAACTTATTTCAAGCAAATACAGGTCTAATCTTATGTGTACTAATTTGAGGCATTCCAAATAGTTAGTGAAACTCAACAAAATTGTTCTTTTCCATTGTTTTGTCTTGGCATATTCTCTGAGATGTATATTATGTCCTGAGATTGTAGTTCACCTCTTAACACATTTGACACTGCTTTGGAATGAAATGGAGAAGCAGCAACATGATCTACGGAAGTTGGGGAAATGTGTGAAGTGACTGATAAGTAGCATGATCTACTTCACACAGTCCTGAATGAGATGGCATAAACTGAATTCATATACTCGTAGTGTAGCTTCAGCTTTTGTGGTTTAGCTTCTTCAAATATTGAAACTGTCACAGTCTGGCATACAGGTACTTCAGTTACCATCAACAGAACGAATGGCAAGGACAAAATATGCCAACATTTTGAAACGGCTTAAACATTCATGGCTAAAATCTGAAAACTGAAGTTACATATCATATACAGACTATGAGTGTATATTAATATAAGAAAGTTATTGGGGGAGATATAATGTTCACAAACTCTGGTAGCCATTTTCTTAAAAACTTACTTTTGTGCAAGTTTGACTTCACTATTCGAGCCTCAATTACAATCTTCATCTTCTGAAGTCTCTAACAAAAGAAATATTGTCACAAGAACTACTCGTATAATACTAGGAATAGTATCTTATCTATTATTAATTTTCTAGCTTGTATTTATGGTTCAGGAAAGAGCACAGAGAATAGAATACCCAATCAACACATCTTATACATCATTCAAACATTAAGAAAACATGAAGCCTGTATTACAGTCATGCATCTACAAGCACACATATAGAAAATGGAAGAGAAGAATATAGATGATGTTCATGAAAATAAACTTAGTGTAGTATATACAATGCATTTAAATTAGAGAGAGATATATTAATACATGCAGGAAGTGGAAAGAAATGTAAGTTTCAAGCCAAGCAGAGCAGACCCAGGTTGCACTACCTACAGAAACTCTCAAAATACTCTATATGATTAGCCCACTTTGCAACATACACCCCACCTATTCTGGGCACATTTCTCAAGTCTGTGACCCCCAAATATTATACTTCAAATTCTAGTCTCTAAAATAAGCATCAGTGAAAAGCACTGGCACATGTCCAAAACTCATCGTTCCCAAACTTCATGTCTGAACTAATCTCCAACATGAGGTATGCTAAATGTATTTTCTATCAATCATTCTGTACTGCACAAAGTAAGGAACTTCCAGGCAATTTTATGGCCATAAAAACAAAATACAAGGCTTTCTACCCCCAGACATGTTCTTATTTCTTATCAACTTCACAGTATATAGAAAACAAAAGACTTAGAACCCCAATGTTGGGGGGTACATCATTCCTCCTTGAAGTTAATTAATTACGGCATTCATAATTATATTGAAGTTTACATGCAACTACAAACATAATCTAATTCCTGCCTATTAACTTTATTCTACAACAATCTTTGTATGGTACATCAGAATTAGCTCACAGTTAACATATGCCACTCTACTTCGACAACATGCGGCAGTCGCTTGGTCAGTATAGTTCACTTGCAGACTAAAACCACAGCTTTTTTTTTTTTTGTTTTATTCTACTTTGCCACTGCCCCCTACTTTACATTTGTTACTTCCCCCCCCCCAAAACTCCATACACAAACTGCAACATCATATTCTGAAATCTGAAATTCACCTACATATCTAAAATTTCAATTCCTAGCTCAAGGAAAACAAAGTATGTGACTATTACAAATTGGTGAATGCCGTTTAGGGAAATAACGGGTAACACTTAAAAGTTTGTGACAATTAATACAATTATTGACTTTCTGGGCATTATCCATCATCCTCCCCTTTTTTATTTAAAAAGCAACGTTTTGGAGAATGAACTCTGTCCTCACATAAAAGCCAGGGATAGAGAATGGCTATTCTGATTGGGCCAAAACTGAGCTGGATTTTACCTGAGGACAGAGATAGAGGCCAGTTTGTGAATCACTGTTTTAAAATAAAAACAAAATGATAGATAACGCTAAAAAAATTAATGACTGAAATAATGGGTGTTTATTCTGAGAATCATGTGAACACAAAAGTACTGTGGGCATAATGTAAAATGTTTTAATGTTAAAGCAAGTGGTACATACAGTAACCACTATGCTTTAAGGGGCTATGATAATTGTCAACAAGAATAACTATAATTATTACAAAACTATGTAACCAAAACTGTGAAATGATGAACCTTATGGGCTCCACACCACAATAATTGATATGCATTTACTAATGCAGACTGAATATTCCAACAATTTCAAAATAAAATGGGACACATAATTTCACTATAAATATTCTGACAAAAATTCCAAGAACATCATGCTCCTCATAATGTTATACTAATGAGATGAACTGTAAAAGACATAGTGAACTATTTAAGACAGTGCATTATTATACAGCTGAAATTCTGGAAATATGAATGGGGGAAGTGTATGCTGCAAAGTGTTAACATTACCTCAAAAAGGCAATAAATTGAATCAGAAATTTGATGGGGCATTGATGTGTCCATCACGTCGATATCTTTTGCGAAGCGCCCAATAATTCGTCCAGTGGGTGTTGTATCAAAGAATGTGAGAGGTGCTCGGAGAATACCACGTAACATGACAATGTGCATGATTCGGGCGGCTGCCCAACAGCCTAGTTGTGGGGCCAGGTCGGTAAAAAATGATGAAAATGCTGTAAGTAACATAACATACATAGCTTTTCCACAGACTTGGAGAAAATATAATTATATTCCAATTTCTTTGAAGGCTTTCCATACTCCAAAACTTGGTAATTTGAAGTGCTCTATATTAGACATTTACCAAAGTATCTGCATGCTTACCTACACACAAAAATTAATTTGTGTATCACATAACACAAAAGCACATTTACTTGTGATATGTTCCTCTACTTAAAAGCATTAAAAAGTGATACCTTCATACTTGAAGGGCAGTATTTTGAAGGCAACCGTGTCTTAGACTTCACGGTGTGGGTAGTTTCAAGATATGGCCCCTATCCCAGAAATGATTACAGTTACCACATGGCCCCTGCCTCAGATCTTACTGAAGGCAACAGAAAATATAAATTCTACAGGTGGTTGTCAAGCATGAATAATATCCCATCTCCTTAGTTAAGGCTCCTGCTCAGAAACAGATTATCTAAACCAATCAAGAATGTCCTACGAACAAAACGCATTGTATCTATTAAAAATCATGATCATTAAGCTGCAATAAATATGACAGATTAATATTATTTAAGAACTGGTGGAAAAACAGGTAAAATAAAAAATGGATGTCAAATGATTTAAGACATACCAACTAAAAATATTGTGTTGTAGTGTCATAATTTAAATGACACAATTTTATTATCATTCTGTTATATTTCAGCAGCATTGCACTGAGGCACCATTCTTATTTTCAAGTACACCATCAATAATGCAACAATGATATAAAAGACACCTAAAATAAATATTTTTCACTAAAAGTGTAACTTTAATACTTTAAAATATTATTAAATATCATAAAATGTCACTAAGACACTGCAAGTACATATACTAAAAAGACTATCAAAATACTTCAAAATGTCTTTTTGTTTTACATTATGTTTTTCCAATTTTGCAACGTTTCGGCTGCATGTGGGCCATCACCAGGCAACTTTTCAGCTAATACATATTATACATTACAGTATGAGGACTGAAAAAAGAATACAATGAGAGTATTCTAGACATGATATACAACAAAACGACAACATGCATGGGAGCACGAAAGACTAGCGGACAGCGCAGTGGTTTCCTCACAAACTAAAAAGTTGCCTGATTATGGCCCACGTGTGGCCGAAACATGTTGCAAAATTGGAAAAACATTATGCAAAACAAAAAGATATTTTGAAGTATTTTGATAGACACCTTTGGTATATAAGATATACTTGCATAACTATAAGTTATGAATTAATTACTGCATGTTTTGGTCTCACTGTCCATTCCTTGGGCATAAACAATTCTTACATTTACCCTTTTTGTATGCTAGTTCCCTCTACACTGGACAGTCTACAAACAAACTAATTTAATATTAAATTTAAAAAAAAACTGTTTTGGGAACACTGAGACGGACTATCAGGGTTTAAATATGACAACAGCCATCATACATACTCGGAACCCAAAAAAGTGTCACATTTTGGGCTACATCTTATAATTCTGTGGTACGAGAAAGACTACCATCTTAAAACATATTACGAATTTATAGGATTTAAAGCTTCTTGTATTTGTATGAAAAACACACAAGCAAATTTCTCACAACTGGCATATTAAAGGTTTTGCTAAAAGTGAGATAAGTGAAGCCCTGTATGTTCAAAACCAAGCACACACAAAACAGTGCACAAACACAAACCTAAAGGAATCAAAACACAAAGTACATGCAGATTCATGTTCAAATGGAACTTGTGAAATGTGAAGCAGGTAAACTACACTCTCCAGCAAGAACATACAGCCAAGCAAGAAACTGTCAATTCTAGTACTTTCTTCTCTTTGCCTGGAGTTTAGCACAAAGCTTCAACTATCAGGACTAGGCTGCATGAAATATTGAAGATTTGCAATCAGTAAACATTTCAATTTCTGACTTCATGGTTAATGACTTGGTGGCCCTTGTATAGTTCTTGCATTAGGCAGTATGTATGTTCATCACAGCTTCACCCTCAACACACTGCCTAATGCAAGAGCTATTTTTTTTTAATTCGCTTAGTGGGGGGTGGAGTCCAACTGGGTCCACTCGGCATGGCAGCCACTGATTGGCCTACTGTAGCCTGCCCCAGGTGATTATGATGATGGAGAATTTGGTGGAATGAAGATTGGCAGGGGAAACCAAAGTACTCAGAGAAAACCCGCCCCAGCGCCACTTTGTCCACCACAAATCCTGTTTGACCAGACACGGGTCTGAACCCGGGCCGCCGCGGTGGGAAGCCAGCGACTAACCGCTTGAGCTATGGCGCAGCCTAATGCAAGAGCTATGTAAGAGTCACCACCATCTCTCCCTCCAAAAGAAATTAGCCTTGAAAACGGCAACTAAAATGTTTGCTGAAACACTGGAAAACCTTCAACATCTGACATGGCCCATTCCCAAAACTAAAACCATATAAAGAAGTGTTAAAAGTTGTGAAGATTTTCCATGCCCCTAAAAATGATTTTTATTATCAAAACATCCATCTCTAGAAAAATAAAACTTAACAAAATACCAACTGTGACCACATACTACATTATAACACAGTGTTCACTATGACCAGCTTATTTCAAGCATATACATATATACAGCTATAGAAACATACACCAGTGCTAACACTTTGAAATCAAAGACTTCATTTCAAATAAAATACGTTTATATGGGCAAATAAATAAATTAAACAGATATAAGACTGACATGCCGTCTAGTGCCAGCATTTCCTCCATGACTCTAAGTTTGACTATAGTTCTTTGCAAGCCATAGTTCCTAGCTGTTTTCTACCTTCTGTTCCTTTTGGTTTTGCATTCATTTTTTTCTTTTTTCATTTATTTTTCTTTTCCTCTCTTACCCACCTTCTTTCCTCCTGTGCTTCAAAAAGCTTCTTCCTTTTCATCTGTCCTTACAGAACAATCTTTTTCAGGTTCACTGTTTCCTACCGAATCCCTCACATCCCAGTTCTCCCTCTGCTACATCCATATCATTTTTTTCTTGTGCAGTTTATGCTTCTAACTAAAGATGGAGAAACAGGTTCCTCCAAATCATTGGTACCTATATACCACACTAACTCATTAACTTAAATAAATACTTGAATTAATACGATTAAAACAAGAGAAAATATAAAATATTCTAAACCAGCGTCACATCCCAGAAGACCATAATCTTCTCAAATCTCCCAACAAGAATATGAGATCATCACGACAGACACACCACTAAGATGTTCATGTTAACATTACAGGCTCTTTGCACTCCTTGCTGCACAGTATTAGTGCAACATCAACAAAAACATGTCAGGCCTCCTCTTTACAGACAATACTGTAATTCATCACACACACACACACTCCTTTATGCAAGTTTATAAGTATGTCTCCATCCTGTTTAAGACAAAAAACTTATTCATGTGAATGTTAAACCACACAATCTTACAAGACCAATTCTTTTTTTCCAGGCAGTAGAATACAATGCACAGCTTTATCTTAAATATATTATATAGACATACACATTTACATTTGCCGAAAATTATCATAATACTCTAAGAAGTTAAACAAAAATCTATTTTATAATAACTTCCTCAGCATCCAACTATCACCATATTATAGCTTACCTGATTTCTTGATTGCAGTGTGCATCACAAATCAAATCAATGGTAAAGAATATATTAACAATAAAATTAACAGATTATGAAGTATGTACAAGGATAACTACACTTTTACTAATAACACATAAATTCTACATATTATATATATATCATATAAATCCTAAAAAATGATTTACACAGTATACTTAAAATATATGAAACTTGAAACTAAACTAAACCTTAACACAAAGTTAAATTTCATAATATACACCAAAATTCAGATGCTGTACTATGAAAACTGTGGGATGTCAGTTCAATATTTTGAGAGACAACCACGTAAATTCCTGATGAATGTCGGCAAAGCTCCAGCACCATCAGGCTGGCTTGTGTGAGCAACAGCAGTCCTCCATGATTGGTAGCCAGGTGACTGCGAGGCAGCAGAAGAGCAGCAAGCGCTGTTTGGGAGCTTCCAAATGGTCAAGGTGACCGCTTTTGGAGGAGGATGGTGGCACTGCTGCTAGTCACTATTGCTGTGTGCCCTCCAGATGCTGTGGTGAAGTAAAAGTAGCTCTGATTGGCTCACTAGTGTGATGTGGTCCCATCTTTATCTGCTGCTGCTAGTGGTGCCCGGTCCAATGGGCGTTGGTGCTGTCATGGCCCACACTGATTGGCTAGCGCATGCTTTGCTCTACCAGCAAACCATAAATTTGTAGTTGGCCTGGAGATGCGTTATGGTAGGTTCCCACAAAACAATTAATGTGATAAGACAAAACACAATTGCAATAACTGTGTTCCACTCTTGAAATATACTGTATATAAGCCCTCTTTCACAGAATATAATGTTATCCAAAGAGATATCAATTCACTTAGAGCAAAGATACTTCAACATAAGATTAAACAGCAGCTACATAAACTCATGAACAAGCATAACTGACTGCTTCAACATAAATATGGTCCTGTCTGAATCATCACATTTTTATATTGGGGAAGAATTATATATCATCCATTACAGCCACCATATTCAAAAATATTAAAAAAGTAACTTTCCACTGAGGTTAATCATCTAAGTATAAAGATGAATGTGAGAGTGAAGGTACAGCTCCACACACACTGACCTCTGTACTAGATAGAGGTGCGCGCCCCAGCTGTTTTACCCCCATGCATATAACTCTCAGTACCCACTGGATAAGAGCCTGTGTGGAACTCAAAACATGTCTCAATGAAGCAATGAAAGGAAAGATTCCTGTCCCTACCAGGAAATGAACCCCAATCACACAGTTCATAACCGATCATGATCTGAGTGAGCTAACTCAGCTTCAACAGACTTTCAAATCTATTTTGCAAACCCAAAAAACATAAATAAATCCTGCAGTTTGATATATGCAGAAAATGCACAATGCCTGAAGGCCTGAAAAAAACACCTTCCATTGTCATCAATATACAAGCAGCAGCTTTTTTACAACCGCTGTCTTAATTAATATCACTCAAAGATACTATCTTTTAATATTACATATCTCAAGATTCTGCTTCCTAGACCATGATTTTTAGTGCCTACTTATTTTCTCAGAATTAGAAATCAACTTCCATTCACCAAACAAAATAAACATCTTCCTGCCCTCTTTATGTATTTATCTGTCTTGTTAAGAGAAAAAAACCTGTAAGTCACCACTTTATTTTCATCCTTTATCATTTTTCTTCCCAACCCCTTCCGATTTTTAATTTTTGGTCCTTGAAAGGCTTATATTCCTGTCTCATTTTCCATTCACTATTGCTCAGTGCATCAAAACACGATGTTCCCATTGACACATGATCTCTATTCTAAGTTCTGCATCATTTTGCAAGGTTTACACCTATCCCATATCACTTAGACAAACAGAAACATACAAAACAGGTACATTAAGGTGTTACTGTTATACTACTTAACCAATGAGAACTCGACCCAGCATTGGTAGATAATCTATATCCATCACCAATATTCTATTTTTGGCAAATCTTGTTGTCATACGTTTCATGATAAGGCTTGAAAAAAATTCTGACAATTAGATACATAAAAAGAAATACTGCAAATACATCATAAGGAATGTGCTACAAGAATACATTTTAGCACATGACACCAAATGTGTAAAATAAGTTCAAACCTGAAACTCTCTTTCACACTGAGTAAGTTCTTCTTTGAATCATACAAACACCTTGCAATTCCATTTCCAAGCTAAAGAACAACCCCTCACCTAAAGCTATGGCATCACAGAAGCTTTCAGTCAATTATCATTATTTTGACAATCATCAGAAAAAGAACTTGAATAAGATTACTAACCCGAAGAAGATTAGGAAGCCACATATGGAGCAAGTGAGGCAGGACCGCATCTAAGACGTGCACGTCACTTGAGAAACGTGCCAAGATACGTCCAACAGGTGTCACATCAAAGAAGGTTGTTACAGGTAAATGTATAATATTATTCAATAAAGACTGGTGAAGCAATTTTGCTGCCGTGAGTCCTCCAATACTGCTACTAAGTGTATGGATACATACACTCATGGCTACAATAAAAATGGCATACTATTATCCATGTCTTCATAGTCTTACCAGACTCATTACATCAGAAAGCAGCATTTCATATATTCTTAAAAGTTTTACAACTAGAATTTCTCGTTAAATGATGTAAATCACAAAATATAAACATGACATTCTTAACACTGATAGGAATGTAGTTAATATTAAATTAAATTAGCATAGAATTCAAATTTACTTTATAGTGTTTATACAAATTAAATTCACTAGTCAGGTTTAATCTAAAATAAGACACTCTTAATTTATCGCCTATAGAACAACTTGTTGTGAAATCAAGTAAACAGCATTCACCCCAACCTTAGGATTCCTTGATATCTTGGAAAACTACAACTCAAAAAGAATCTTCACTGTGTAAAGTATTCACACTTCTTGGATCACAATGCCAAGAGAACAAAATGCAGTAGTTAACAACTGCCTGTAATGAAAATAACATGAATAAAAAAAATAAAACTCCCTATAAATATTTTCATACTCTTGGCTGTGCTGAGCAACTGTTTCAGCCAGGTACCTAATAGTTTCGTTATGATTTTATTCAATATATCTGATATGTTTGAACTTGGATTTATTTAAGCCCCAAACACAGATATACCTTGTAATAAGTGATGATATCCTTATTACACCTAAGATAATTAAAAAGCGACACCAAAGATAAAAACTCAGATGTCTGTTCACTTGGCTATTCAATGTATGAGCAAAGTGTAACAGAAGAGTCAGAGAGTACAAGACAAATACCAACAAATGTTGAAAGGTACGGAATTACACTGAATTTAAACAGTTCAGAATTATATATGTAACATCTTTCAGATACCTCAGGACTGTTTTGATGTTTGAAACATTATTTCCTTTCTCCATTGTCTAGACAAAATACTAGTACAAACTTCACCACACTGCACACACTCATTCTCGTTCAGAAGATGTGGAACATAATTGTCTGGTATTACATGAACTCAAATAACGAAACATAAGAATAAACAAAATGCATAAAACTCCAATAGAATACCAGACAAAGGAATAAATAGAAATAAAACCAACAATGAAGAAGACAATACAGGATCTTTCTAAATTATGTCACAATTTTGATCATCATCTTCTCAGAAATGAACAGAGTTATAAATATAAAGAAAAGTGTTTTGTATTTGAGAC